TACTTTGAAATCACCTGGACATCAAGTCACAAGTGTTTCAAACGAGGTAACTTTTCTTTACTCTTTGGTATTCTCTGACAATCTTGTATAATGAGAGAAGCCTGAACCCATCCCTGAAAAAACTCAATTCCAGAACACAAGGACTCCCCACATCAGGTGATACCAGACCACCATATTTGCACTGACTGCCTCTGCTCCGGCCCTTTGCTGGGGCTAAAAGAAACGCTTTATCCAGTGGGAAGCCAAGGAGTTTTGGGCCACTTTCTCTCCTCCTTCACAGGGTCAGAGAAGCAGCAGAGACAGCAGCAGTGTGAACAAGCAGTAGGTGGGGCCATGCATGACACAGTGACTACTACCACAGTCATTATGTTTTTGTTTGTAATTATGTTTTTGTTTGTTACTGCGTACTTGCAGAAACATGACATTTAACAACAGCAGACTGTCTACAACACCTGAAAGAAATACAGCATTGCCACTCTATTTTAAGCCTACTTTCCTTCCAATTGGTATCAATGGAGAGATGTTTACAGTAGAGAGGCACAAGAGCTCAAATGGCTTAGGCTGCCTAGCTTTTCTTTGCTCAAAAAAAGCTGCTCACAAACACATGAAAAAATCTGCAGCCCTTTTGGGATTCTAAACATACAGATTTTCTAGGAGAGAGGGCCTGAAGAAAGACAAAAATGCATAAAAATTTCAGTCCTCTCTTCAAAGAGAAAATAGCACAAAGGAAGAAAATACTGTACAGCCTGAGAAGACAAGCTGATGCAGCCGAACAGCTCACCGCTGCTGCCAAAGCGAACAGCCCATCCAGCCCACGTTTCCTCCTTGCTTATGCTGACTTTTTTACGTTTGTTGGATCCCTTAAGGAGCTGCTTCACCTCAATAACCTGGCAGAAAAACATTCTCATTTCTCCTGGCCAGTCTTTGACTTGTGAGGGAGCTTACAGAGGGGTTAAGCAAGGGCCAGAGCTGACTAGAGAGAAAAGAGCGGGCAGAAGCACACGGAAAGCGAAGGAAACTGGCCTTTCACTGAGAGAGACGCTTCAGATCTACTCAACTGTTCTGTCAGACTGCACCTCAGGTAATTTGAGCTATCTGCAAATAACCTCTAAATAAATTCTTGAGTCGTGATGTAAAGTAGAGAAAAAACCTTATTTGACAGGAGATATTACAGCCTACCTGATAAAGCCAAATAATTGATGTCATGACCTGCAGACTTGGCATATTTTCCTGTCTGGCCAAATCCAGTAAGTCTAGCATAGATGAGCCTGGGATTCTCCTGTAGAAGGACCTCTGGACCAAGCCCAAGTTTTTCCATGACACCTTAAAAAGACAAAGGCACGGAATCCTAATTCACGTTTATTTTTTAATAAGCCTCAGAATATACATGGGCCAATGTTAAATTACACAACACCAGAACTGAATTGCAATTTACGAAGTAATACATCCTACTTCAATATCCATATTACAATATGAACAGCCAGAATGTTATAAATTACCAACATACTGCATACATCTTGAACACAGGCCAATTACATGGAAATTAAGCCTTAGGGTCCTGACTGTTTTTTTCAGCTTTTTTCCTGTTTTACTTCCCCAGAAGACTGCCAGACAGCTTGCTGTAATCCACGTACTGTTGAACACGAGAGAAAGCTCCCAAAGGCTTGTAAAAAAAAAGAGAAAGAGCAATCTCTTACATTTTCCACATTAAAATGACCTGAAATTGGTTCCATCTTTCACTGGAGACGTTCCTGACTGTATTAGCCTCTCAGTACCCCATGTGTTCCTGTATCTTTTAACTCACTGATGCAAATCACAGAATCACAGAATCACAGAATAGTAGGGGTTGGAAGGGACCTCTGTGGGTCATCTAGTTCAACCCCCTGCTGAAGCAGGGTCACCTACAGCAGGCTGCAGAGGACCTTGTCCAGGCGGGTCTTGAATATCTCCAGAGAAGGAGACTCCACAACCTCCCTGGGCAGCCTGTTCCAGTGCTCCGTCACCCTCAGAGTGAAGAAGTTCTTCCTCATGTTCAGCTGGAACTTCCTGTGCCTCAGTTTGTGCCCATTGCCCCTTGTCCTGTCACTGGGCACCACTGAAAAGAGTTTGGCCCCATCCTCCTGACACCCACCCTTCAGATATTTATAAGCATTTATTAGGTCCCCTCGCAGCCTTCTCTTCTTCAGGCTGAACAAGCCCAGCTCCCTCAGCCTCTCCTCGTAGGAAATGGACCATGCTACTATTCCAGAAACGATCTGCAACAACTGCATGGAAGGAAATGTGTTCTTTTGTAAAGCAGAGAATAAGTAACTTAAGAAATCAATGAAATGTAGGTTTGGTCAGCATGGGTTTACAGAAATCAAGGCTAAAATTTTTATCCTGCAGTTCTAAACTAGTGGTTTTAAAAGAAGGAAATTCAAGTTGCAAATAAATGATAGATTTCTATCAGCTCAGTGCAGCTTGGTCCGACTATGCCCTATAACCTATACTGGCACTGCAGGGAGACACATTTTGGAGTGGAAGGGATAACAAACTCCAATGCCCATTCCGCCCCAGAATCTGTTACTCCAATTTGTTTCACAGACTAGTCCATAATATTACTAAATCTTTAAATTCCTTAAGATATATTTCTATTGTGTTACTTACTGGGCATTGACAAGTGATTAATGCCAAGGAGAAAGCAGTGAAATTCAGTAAAGACTAAGATTTTCAAAAGCACAAGTGAGAACTGGGTGCCAAATAGCCCCTGGTGTCACAAAGTCACTGTCGGAAGGTCAATGGTACATCTGTGTTTAAAGAAACTCTTCTGTCACTTGGACCCTCATCTTCTCATTGGTTCATACCACCTTCATGCTGGATCACACGTTTGCCCAGTTCAGTTACAGGCCAATAAAACCTAATGTCTAATTACAAAATTACCTGCATTTCCAGATTAAAAGAAAAAAACAAAGCAAGTGCTTATAAAAGCAAAGAAAACAGAAATTTCCATGATAAGTAAAAAAAAAATCCCACTAGAAAATAGGAAACCAGCTACAACAAAAAATGGCATTTAATGTCTTAATTTTGTCTGCACAGCTTCTCAGGAACAAAACAAAAAATCCCCAAGGTAAAAAATACCACAAACATAAACCCGTTTTCAGAATGAATAGTATCCGCAACACAGGACACATAAGCCTGTTTATGATGTGAGATGTTTAACTGGTATGGCCTTCTATTTCTAAACTGACTGCAGAAACACCATAACGCTTCATCTAGCTCCTCACTGAAGCAGGATCATAGAGTCATGGAATGGTTTGGGTTGGGATGGACCTTTCAAGTCATCCAGTCCAACCCCCTGCAGCGAACAGGGACACCTTCGACTCCATCACAAGGTTGCTGAGCGCCCCGTCCAGCCTGACCCTGATGATGCTCTTTGTAACAGAACAAGGATACTGGAGAGCAGCTCTGCGGAGAGAGACCTGGGTGTGCTGGTGGATGACAAGTTCACCATGAGCCAGCAGTGTGCCCTGATTGCCAAGAAGGCCAACGGGATCCTGGGATGTATTAGGAGGAGTGTGGCCAGCAGGTCGAGGGAGGTTCTCCTGCCCCTCTACTGTGCCCTAGTGAGGCCACATCTGGAGTACTCTGTCCAGTTCTGGGCTCCGCACTTCAAAAAAGACGAGGAACTATTGGACGGAGTCCAGAGGAGGGCTACAAAGATGATCAGGGGACTGGAGAATCTCTCCTACGAGGAGAGGCTGAGGGAGCTGGGCTTGTTCAGCCTGAAGAAGAGCAGGCTGAGAGGGGACCTTATAAATGCTTACAAATATCTGAAGGGTGGGTGTCAGGAGGATG